TATCTTTGATAAAGATATGATCAGTGTTCGATTCACTGAGGAATTAAAAGAGAATTGGCCGAGTGGTTTAAGGCGGTAAGCTTGAGTTTTATTAGGTTATTTTTAACCACATCCGTTCGAATCGGATATTCTCTGGACATCTTACAAAAGAGTATAATTTAATGGTAAAATAGGAAGCTTCAACCTTCAACTTCTTGGTTCGAGTCCAAGTACTCTTGAATTTTAATAAGCAAATAAATTTTGATTATATAGTAGTAATATCAAACGTTTTGGTATTAAAATAATTAATATAAAGATAATAAAATTTATATTAAAATTTAGATTTATAAAGTTCTATTTTAAACTTATAAATAAAATAAAACTATGATATGATAATTCAAAACTTAAGGAAAATAAAAATATTAAGAATATTTTTAATACAGATTAGGGCCGGGTTGGTTAGGCACTTCGTTTGGGTCGGAGACTAGTTAGGTTCAAATCCTAATAATCTGAAAATAGACAAAGTCTATAAATTAGAACATTTAGAAATAATATAGATATATACTAAGTATTTATAAAAATATAAGTATACAAAGGAATTATTATGGAATTTAAAGTTGTATATTAAAGAGATGAAATTTAGATGGGAATCTATAAACTCTAGAAGAAATTTTGTATTAAACGAAGTGAATTGAAATATCTTAGTAACTTCAGGAAAAGAAATCAAACGAGATTCTATGATTAGCGTGAGCGAAAGTAGAGAAGTCTATTAAGTAAAGTGGTGATACATTGCTTGAATATATGGGGAACCTTCCTCAAAGACTAAATATAATATATAAACGATAGTGAAAAGTACCGTGAGGGAAAGAAAGGAAATAGTAATTTTATAAGCAGTTCGAAAAAAAAGAACGTACCTTTTGCATAATGGGTCACCAAGTTAACATTAGATGCGAGCACAATGCGCAGGGAAACCGAATATGAAAAAACATACTAGTGTCTAAAGTTAGACCCGAAGCCGGGTGATTTTACCATGGTCAGGATTATAAAGGTC